TTTTGTTGAACAGAGTGGAAATTTGTAGCCCACCACACACAATTGTATTCCTACTACAGCTGAACAGGGAGTATCTGTAATTCCACTTGCACCATGTTAACTTGAAACCACTTTGCCTGTAATTATTTTCTCTTGCCCGTATATTTAGTAAGTTTCCCTTGCTGATTATGTGGTTCTCTCATGCAGAAAAAGGAAATATTTTAAAAAATGAAGGAAATAATTACAGGGAATAACCAAAATTGGAAGCTGGACTGAAGAGCAGGTGTGGAGTCCGAACTGACTTTTAAGCTAAAATAAAGCCTTAATTGAAAATAGACTTTCCCCTCCCCCCCCCCCTTTTTTTTTAATTTTGGTTAAGGAAAAGTATTGCATGACATCATACCACTATATAGAAAATAGGAACTAAATGAGCCTCCTCTGTGTAAGGGTATCACATAAACACACACTAAGGAAGCCATTTTCCATACAGAACATTGTGATCCTGCAATTTTATATATATTCCTGCACAAAACCTATTTAGACATTTTTTATAGACTATTTACACGTCAGTTTCCATGTGCAATGTCCATGTTAAATGTCTGACTTTCCTTGGTTTACCAGCTTGCAACCAGCAGTACATTGTTGAACAGGACATCTGCATGTTCTGCTCGCGAGGACAAATCTGGGGGAAAACTCACAACGGTTAACATAAGAAAAAGGTATACCCATAAACTCTGCCCATTATAATTATTTGCCCTATGGAAACCATCTGCTCCGGTGTGTTAAGGTAGAAGACGTGCATTACTGGAGACAGTTTGCCGGCCTGATACTAAATAGCTAACTATACTGGGCCTAATGTTCCCCTGCATCCCCTCAGATTTGTTCATAAGACTGGTAGGAAATTTTGGAACAGGAATGAAATGAAAGAGTTCCTGTTTGACCCACCCTTTCTTTATCATCACGTGATCTTGCATTTCACTAAAACTCCTGTCTCTTTTCAGCTGCACTGAACATGGGTGCAGCAGGGAAATGTCTGTTGAAGTCATTTTGCCAAAAAATAACAAAGGACCAGATTTCTTTGCCAGATACCATGACCACAGGCCTAGCCACGAATAAAAAGCCACTTGGACTGTGTAGCTCACCTAGTAAAATGTTTTTTTCTCAGTCTGGTCGGGATTCTGGTTGGGTGACTGAGACTTCCTACTGACCCCACCAAGGAGGAGGATGGTGCTCTTGGCAATCCCTGCCTCTCGCAAGGAGCTCCGACACAGCCCAGGGGTTTCTCAGTCACATGAGAAATGGTTTGTAGGCTCAGGGCCCCAGGGGCCATTATTTCAAAGTTGTACAACCATCATGTATCTGCAAGAAGCACCTCCTGCAGTGTCTGTGCCTTTCAAGAAACAAAGCTGTGTTGTGAACTAATGGCGATGTTAATAGCTTTCTTCCCTCTAGAGATTTGCTCCCGCTTTGGCCCCAAATATTTCAAAATAGCTGAAGCTGGCAGTAAGAGCCATGGGAAGAAAAATGTTAATGCATGTTAATTTCTGGCTTAGACATGATGAGAATTTCATTCTCTTCATTAAAATTCCCCAGTGTCAATGGTATTCTCCTCTAATTCATGGACTATAACTTACAGCGTTCCTCTGTGAGAGATCATGTATGCAGTCTGATGTTTTTAAATAGTTTTGTTTTCCTCTCCTTCGAGGTACTCAAGTTACCATTCTCCTGACGCATAACATGCTCTCCTTTCAGTTAGATAGTGGCATGTTTGTGTAGGGATTTCAGAGTGTGTTTTTAGTTTTCTATAAAAAGACTGAAGTTATCACAAATTGCAGATTCATGTTTACTCATTGTGAAATGGAGAGACTCAGTGAAAGGTTTGAAGAAAAGTCTGCTACTAGTAAATAGAAAAGTAAAATGAAAAACCAAACTGGGATTCAGGCTGACATGAAAGTGAGTTGAGGGGGCATGGAAGAGCATTTGTTTACTCCACAGAACAAAAAAATTATCCCATCTAGTTGTTCCAAAGGAATGCCTGAGGAGGACAGAGGGGCTCAGTTGCTGGATAATCAGATCAGTCGTAAAGTGCCTATTAAACATACACCATCTGTGGGAAGCTATGAAGTTTTGCCACTCAGAAAAAATAGGTATATATGCTTATGCTTTGCTTAGTCAAAGAGGGGGAAACTTGCATTTAAAATCAGCAAATATAAAATCCTCATAACACAGCACTGTGTGATCTCTCCTTAACCAGCTTAATCAGTGTAGACCATAGCAACTGCTTTCCAAACATACAGATAGAGCTCTTAGATATCTAGAGTAGACAGAGGCGTCAAGAATTCAGAGTAACAGGCTGCTCCCACTTTGCAGAGTACTTTTATTCTGCTGTGATCTTTAAGATAAATGTGGAAGACAGACGCACAGCACTTTTTCCACTGAGGAATCATTTCAGGAGCCCTGCATTCCCTGTGCCATGAAATGCACTTCTCAAAGTGTGAGCAGATTGACACTGGAGTGGTGTGAAATAGGAAATAGACGAAAATCAGGATCAGTCTCATTCTCTGGTGAAAAGGAAGCACACTGCAAGTACAAGTAATTGCCCTGCTAACCAGGCTTTTGACTTTAACAATCTGAAACTAACCACCATTCATCCAGGGAAAACAAGAAGACCAGAAGGCTACTATGGTCAACTGAATATGGAACCGACATCAACACAAAAGTGCTTAGTAGCACACCAGGGCAAGGGATGAACCAAAATTTCTAAGGAGACATACTGGGACAACTGAGTAGAGAGGAAGGGTAAATACGAATGCCACAAGGACAACTCCCAAACCTACGTGAAAGAAGTTAGAGATTGGGTGTGAATTTCCACTGTCCACCAAATATTTTAACACAGGGGACCAGATCACCAGTACATATAGTCAAGTGAGGTTCTGCTGAATGGTTCTGGTGATTATTTATATGTTTTGAAATAAACATACTCCATCGTACCAACCCTGCTGCTGTGAGTGTGGTGTAGTGTCAGCCCTCACCAGCAGCCTTTCCCAGGGAATGGAGCCAATTGAAGAAACCATATTTGTTCTGAGAAGTCACCTAAAGGCTTCCAAAGAGCAGCATGGAGACCTGTATCTGGACTGTACATTCGTTAGGGAAGAAGCATGCAGCATGTAGAGCAACAGGATGAGGTGTGCACAGTAATATTGATTAATTTTTGTACCAGACAGAACTGGTACAAAAGAACTTAGTTTCATTGCTAGGTATGAGGAAGAGGAAAGCTCAGCAAATTGGAAGGTCAGTGTTGTTCAAATCACCATGCAAGATGAGCAATAATCGCAGTCCACAGTAACCTCATTGATTCACACTGCCAGGCATCACCACAAGCAGATCCCAAGAGAAGCACTTTTTCCCTGTTTTCTGCCTTGCCGGGAGACATTGTTCACCCTAGATGAGCTTGACCTATGTGACTGAGTGCAAAGAATAACCAAATACACCTCTCACTCTACGACTCTCTTTCACCACCTCCACTGTCACTGTATACTCTGCATTTTAAGAAAAATACACATCATGCTGAGGTTTAAAATGCCATGTTGTACCTCTCTGTGATGAACTCCATCGGTGCTGGAAGAAAGCTGACTCTTTCAAACTGAGAACCTGTGCTGAAAGCCCAAGAGGCCGAGCCCAGGAGCTTTTTTATCAGTGTACAAAGCTGTCATCATGCAGGGCAGGACCACTGAATGATAGGGCATGGCTGCGAAAACAGATAAAGTTTCTCTAAAAACCCTACCTAAAAAAAAAATGCAAATCAGTGGCTACATTCACACTGCATTATTCTTTAAGTCACCTATTTAAAGTCACTTATTTTTTTTCAAACTTCCCTACGGTGCCGCATATGTTTTCAAGTCTAGGTATAGAGTGAGGGTGTTTTCGTGCCAAGTACTATAGACCACACAGAAGAAGCTGCAATTAATGGCATTTCAGTGTTCTGCATTGCTGATCTACTTAACAATCCATTTTCGAGGACATTTTAAAAGTTGTTTAGCTGACTGCCAAAAATGAGGGTCATTAAAAATAGATTCACAGCTGTTTGGGAAAGCTGAGATATAATTTTGTCTTCATTATGCCTTATTGCAGATGTTATTGATTTAGTCTCACTGCATTTTGGTGGGCAATATCAATTCACACTGTCTTTGACTTTGGAAACTGGGAAGTCCATTTATTCTTATTCTTAGAGCTCACGGTGTATAGAAGGAGGGAAAATAACCATGAAGTCAGTCTGGGAGAGATCCTCTTTGTGCAGCAGCACCATTGTGCTGGTGATCAGAGCTGATAAGCTCATCAAAATATCCCTACACATCAAGCCTCAGATTGCAGCAGAATGTGTACAAAATATCCCTGAAGACAGAATTTGACTCTTATATGAGAAGGGCCAACAGCCTTAGACCCAGTACTACAGATCAGAGACAGGAAAGTGTGGATGTGATCTTATGCTCCTTTTGTGATACCAGTGCTCTTTTTCATTATTAATACACTATTTTCACTGCAAGTTGGCACTATTCAGAATAAGAATTTACAGTGAAATATTACTAAACATACGATATCACTGGCAAACACAGAAGAAAGTAATTTTCTACTTCGAGGAGCTTTCATTTAGTGAGAGTTTTCATATGCAGCTGCAGAAACTGGGTCTATGTACATATGGTTATATGTATGTTGGTGTGTCTGTATATGTAGGATCAAATGCTCTTTAAGACATGTATGAAGATTCAACTCACTGCTATAATCAACTTAAGCAGGAGCAGAAGACTAAATTCCCTGGTATTTGATCATAACTATAGGAAGCCTTCAAGAATTCCTCCAAAAGAAATTGCATAAATAATTCTTGGAACTTTAATAAAAGGCATATGTAAAAGCACAAAGGACAAGGCATAAAAAGAAAAATTGTAATAATAGCTTAAACACTGAATCACGCATTAAATAAACCTCTCAGTCACTCATTCTCAACATGAACTGCACGTACACAGTTTTGATTATGCAACACTTTTAATGTTGCCCTTTTGGATAGAGAACAATCTGCAAATACCTTTCGTCTGCCCAGCCAGTTACTTTAAACAGTTGTGCTTCTTAACACACTGACACTGAACTTTGGTGAGCCTTCTCACTCAGCCCTACTCACTCAGCTGCAGTGCTTTGTAGCCATTTTCAGTGGAGTGAAAGGCAACTCACGTTTCAGCCCACTTCTTTATTGGGCTGAAGAGGACCTACACGTGACCAACATGTGGGTTGGGAAAGCAGTTGTGGCATTGTTAGCCCGCACTCACTTCCCACATACAGTACCACCCCGGGATGAATGAACCGACCACAGACAATTGTCACCCACAGCATTTCTAAGGAGCTTTTTGTCTGCTCCCATTGCTTAATCCAACAGACTCCCTAGGCTGAAGTTAGCACTGTGTATACTGCTGATTTTCACCTTAGGAATGTTCATCTTGGAAACTGATGATGGTGTGGGACAGTCTGCTTCCCTTGAGTACAGATCAATCTGCAGTAAAAAAAAAGGGGACAGGCATTTTGCAGTGAAGAACACCTGGTTTTCTCGTAATTACACCTGGTAATCTCATAAAATATGATTTTTCCCCAGAACTGCTGAGAATGTTTAACATTTTGCAACCTTCATAAAGGGCTCAGGACTGTAAATCCCACACTAGTATTAGCAAGCCTTCAACCATAGTGAGTCTATGGACGTGAGTAACTGCACACAAATGGAGGTAAAGGAATTCACAGATTGTCTCACAGAGTCTTAAGAGGAACCCAAAGGTCTTTACAGACCACAATATATCTCACACGCAGGGCACCTGGTGGTCTAGTGGTTAGGATGCAGCGCTCTCACCGCCACGGCCCGGGTTCGATTCCCGGTCAGGGGACTTCCCCGGGCAGATGGAGCTCGTCAGCCCTGTAAGGCCATCCATCCAAGAGAAGGTCACTCTAAACAAACCTACGCCCTGAGGACCTCACTGCGACTGTCCAAGCTCGCTCGGCCCCAGCAGATGAACCTCAGGATTAAAGGGTGGGCTCAGTTCAGCGCACACTGTGTCTCACCTAAAAAATCCACTGCGCAGGCTCGAAGGGTAATGACCTTTCCCAAATCTTCGATCGCGAAGACTGACCATGAATACCTCATACCCACAGAAGGATCTCTCTACAAAAGGACTTTACACATTGAAACCTGAATTGGGAGCATGTCAGGAGAACAGAGAGATGAATGATCCCCTGTGGCACTGAGCCCTCTGCTGCTGCCTAGACTAGTAATCCAAATGCTTTGCTAATTTAATTCTTTATCCAACAGAGTGTTCATCCTGAACTTCAAGCATAGGAGCTCTGAAGGGAAGAAGAATGATTCCCGTGCTTAGGTTTATGTGTTTTGCTACTCTGGACTTTGGCCAGCTAGTCTGTATTAGGGCTATGCATGGCCTCAGGACATGCTATGAGCTGGCAGAACTCATTTTGGCCAACAGAGAATTGCACTTTTCTTTCTTGCTGGTCCAATTCTTGGGCATGTGATCCTATCACTTGCCATGTACTGGTGCTGATGCTCATCATACTTAAAACTGTGTGACAGAGGGGTGGAATGGCATGGTCAAGGGAGGAGGACAGGCAGGAAGAAATGGATAGAAAAGAACAAAAGCCTCTTGCCTTCCATAGGTGAGAATCTTTCCCTGGACTTGTGTGTCTTTTGAACTGATGCTGACATATTACTGTCATCAGTGAGACATGGAGAGAACTGAAGATCAGGATCAGCACTTTCAGCATTTTTCCAACTAAAGAAGTGAATTCTGACCAAACGACCACATCTTTACAGAAGAAACACTTGTGTTTCAGCCAAGATATATAAATGTGTAACGGAGAAGGGATATAGAGAGCTACAGTGTGTTTGCAGAAACATAAATCCTTTTGGGCAGCACAGACTTCTTCCCTGAGCTTTGGCCAGGAACATCAGCTGTCTCAAATAAGGTGGACGTAGCCTTTGCTTCTTGGTTGATATATAAAGGATCAAACCAGCACTTAAAAACATGAACTGCAATTGCCTTAACTGGCAGCTCAAGGCTGTAACTGTATGTCTCTGCTGCAGATTGGTGGGCTGCTGAGCAGCATTCCATTGTCCCTTGTTATGTGTCATCTTTCTAAGCCTCAACAGAGAGTAGTAAAGGGTTGTATTTTTTATTCCTCACTTTGGCTTTGGCACATAAGCCCCATTGTGCTGTCCATCTAGTCCTATTATTTACTGCTTTCTTGGTTTGCTTTTCACATTAAGCCTGTGAACATCACCAGTGATACTTCAGCATAGGCTGTGGCCATTCTTTGTGTCCTTACTTGATTGTTGGATCTTGCCCTAGTTACTCACATATGTAAGACTAAATGTGTGACTCTTAGTAGCTCTGTGCAAGAATTTCCTAAGCACGTCTATGCACTGTCTGGCATTATACAGCTGGACCACATTGACTTTCTCTTCAGGGAAATATCTGAGGTTCTCAGACCCATCTATCTTTACGCTCAGTTGCTATCTGATCTCCAGGGGCTCCACTGCAGTGTTCCCACACTGTCAGGCAGACCTGCTTTCTTGCTTCTTTTGCACTGATTAACAACCTCTTGCCTCTTCTGACTCCCAGCTTCCCATTGCTTTGTGGGTACTTTGTGCCCAAATTCCCAATAAACACTGAACTGGTTTTGAGCTCTGTTGATGAAAGCTGTGATCTGTTGTCTAGGTACAGAGTCATGACAGCCAGACCTTGCCAAGGGTACTGCAATGTCTTATTCTCAGTCCTTGCCTGTATGTCCTTCACATAGCATCATTTTTGCTTAGAAATTAAGTAAAAAATTAGTATGGCTAATAGGATGATTATTCAGGATCAGGTTTATATCTCATGATGCAGTCAAGTGGCTCCTTTTCTGTTCTCCTCTTCACTCTGTACACTCTGCACTGTCACAAATCTGCTCTGCTTTGTGCAGTCATGCCATGACACTGGATCTTCTTTTGTCTGTCTGGTTTTGCCCTGTGTGAGAAGTATGGACACACCACATAGGAGAAGACCCTTTCTCTGACATTTAGACAACCACAGTACAGATCTAAACAGAAGAACTGTCCCTTGCAGATCCTTGCAGAGCCAATGGAAAGAAATAATCTTCAAACACATTCAGCTGGTTTAGAAAAGTTAAAATAGAGCAAATAATGACCTACAGTCCACTGACAATATTGACTACATCTTCAATGACTAAAATGAGAACTCGGTATCTCTACGTGGAGTTCGATGACACGATCCCTTCCATGACACTCGCTCCTAAGTTGCTTAGCAATTTTAAAAAACCCTTCATCTTGTGTTCTCATCCCTCAGCAGATGTGGCTAACTCATCTGCTGCTGCATTTGCAGCTGTTGGTTGTCCCAGTCCAAATGTACTGAACATTTTAGTGCCTTCAGTACTCTGTTGTGTTTGATGCCTGATTTGACTGCCTAGCACTATCTTTGAGAAGGACTTTTAGACAGGATGGTAAATTCTCTTTTATTGCATACAAGATTTGTGAAGGCTCACTAGAGAAAATGAGCAATGCCATTTTCTCTCATTCCAGTCTAATGTTGAGTGCAGTCCACAATGGCTTATTCACCACACTGCTTGTTGTCAGAAGGCATATTTCACTAACAGCCAAAGGCAAACTGGCAAAAAATTTCCCATCAAAGAAGCACAGGGAATGGGTCATTCTCAGCCCAGACATTTCTCCTTTCTGTGTTCACATGATCTCTACTTACAAATGCTACAGGCTAATGGCTTCAGAATAATGATGCTGCTAGATTTCCTTTCCCAGTATTATCCTTTACCTCATGTTGCTGCACAGAACAGCAATGTTTTATGGTATGTGCCTGGCTTAAACTATCTTTATGCTTTCCAGTGCCCACCTGGGGCTTCTGATTTAACTCCATCATGTGGCAGCTGCCTTACTGCTTAGCAGTACTCTGCTGCATGTGCACAGCATCTGGACATCTCCACTGATGAAGGCATTTCCTGAATGAGTCTGAGTGTGTCTCAGAAGGAGAATGGAGCTCAGCAGAGATTGCCAGATGCCCAGAGGAGCTAGCCTCATTCTTCTCTGCTGCACGTAGTCTGTGGTCAGCCTCATACCCCTTAGCAGCTGCCATAGCTTGGTAGCATGAACCTTGCTTGCCTCTTACTCAGGTTTCCCTTTCTCCAGTGGTATGATTTTCATCCATGAAAGACAGCTGATGCCAGACCTACCAAAGCCCTGTTTGTGCCCACTACCTGCCACGGGTAGAGTAAGCTGAATTAGTTTCCTGTGCCAAGACAGGACTGAGCAGAGGATTTATTTCACTGTCATGCTCTGTGTATTAGGATGAGCACTTCCAACACCTCATGGATGTAATGGTTCCTTCTCTCCAGAGGAGCTGATGTAACATTTCAGCTGATCCTGATGGAGCTGGCACCTGAGTGGCCTCTGAGCCTGCAGGAGCTGAATGGTGGGCAGCCCTCTCTCATGTCTGTTCTCTCCCATGAAGATCACGGTGCAGAGATCCTCCTCTGCAGTGGATGTCTTGTTGTCTGTCTTGTTGCTGCCTGAGTCACTGCTTTTTTATTTTCTGGAAGAGCTGCCCAGGAGTACAAAATGGTCCTGCTTCTCTCACCTCACAGAAGAGAGTCCTTAGGTGTGGCAGGTTGGTCTCCATCCTGCTGTGGTGAGGCTGTACATCCACCTGGTGCCCAAACAGTGAACTGAGGGTCTGGTTTCAGACCCTGGGCAGTGTCTCCCTTTCTCCCTGAATGCGGGTCTTATGTCTGCTGGTCAGGGAAGGTACTTTAGCAGAGGTTTTGCTCCTTTCTCTGGGCAGATCAGCTGCCCTCCAACTGTAGGAAATCCTTCTAAAAGATCAGATATTTCTACTGCAGAAATAACATGTAGACAGGTTGCCTAAGAAACAGTGTCTCTAAACAGGACCTTTCTGATGTAAAAGTGGCAAGCCAGAGTTTGAGCCCTGGACACACCCTCTCCCTCAGCCCTCCTACCTCACATGAAAGCAGGGCCTCTCCAGCTACTCTGACCATGGTCAAAGTGGACATCAACTCTTCCTTACCCAGGCTTAACTTCTGGCAACTGCATCTTGCTGACTTCTTGTTCTTACCTTTCATTTATACTTTTTAATTCCTCATCACCCTTTGCAACATGAGGACTGAAAGGGCATAGATTTAGATTAGACACTGGGAAGAAATTCTTCACTATGAGGGTGGTGAGGCACTGGAACAGGTTGCCCAGAGTAGCTGTGGATGCCCTATCCCTGAAAGTGTTCAAGGCCAGATTGGATGGGGCTTTGAGTACCTTGGTCTAGTGGAAGGTGTCCCTGCCCATAGCAAGAGAGTTCTAACTAGATGATCTTTAAGGTTCCTTCCAACTCAAACCATTCTACGATTCTATGACGATTCTATGTCCGGGCCACATCTATGATCACTTGAGGTTGTTCTAGTTTTAACTCCATAGATTTTACATTTTTCCCTGTTTGCAAACATATTTACTTCTCTCATTCCCCATAATTAAAGTGATAGCAATCCTGTTTAATTTCTGCCATACAAATCCATGCTCTACAGACAGAATGACAGCATTTTTTAACTTCAGCTCAAATTAAAACTGAAGTCTCATTGCTGCCACTTTCAGAAACCCAGAGCCACAAAGATTAAGATAATTAATAAAAATAATAACAGATACCTCTGGGGCTGGCAGCTCTGCTTATGTGGAGTGCAGAGCACACCATGGAAGCCTCGAGATGTGGCAGAAGGACACCCAGAGCAAGGTGACCTCGGGAGAGAGGGACCCCTGGAGCAGAGGGACCCCCGTGGCAGAAGGACCCTGTGGCAGAGGTACCCCGGGACAGAGAAACCCCCGCGTCAGTGTGACCCTGGAGCAGAGGGACCCCGCAGCAGGGTGACCCCTAGGCAGAGGGACTCCCACAGCAGGTTAACCCCAGAGCAGAGGAACCCCCGGAGCAGAGGGACCCCGGGGGCAGAGCGACTGTCGGGGCAGAGGGACCCCCGCGTCAAGGGACTCCTGCGGTAGAGAGACCCCGAGCCAGAGGAACCCCGTGGCAGAAGGACCCCGGGGCAGATGGACCCCCACGGCAGGATGAGCCCGGAGCAGAGGAACCCCGCAGCAAGGTGACCCCGCGGCAGAGGAACCCCAGGGGCAGAGCGACCCCACGTCAGGGTGACCCCGGAGCAGAGGGACTCCCGCGGCAGAGGGGCCCCCGGAGATGAGGGACTCCCGTGGCACAGGGACCCCCGGGGCACAGGGACCCCGGAGCAGAGGGACCCCGGGGTAGAGGGACCCCCGCGGCACAGGGACCCCGGGGAAGTGTGACCCCGCAGCACAAGGACCCCCGGGCACGGTGACCCCGCGGCACAGGGACCCCGCGGCACAGGGACTCTGGGTCAGAGGGACCCCGCGGCAGAGGGACTCTGGGTCAGAGGGACCCCGAGGCACAGAGACCCCGCGGCACAGGGACCCCGCGGCACGGGGACCCCGCGGCACAGGGACTCTGGGTCAGAGGGACCCCGCGGCACAGGGACCCCGGGGCAGAGGGACCCCCGGGCACGGTGACCCCGCGGGCTGCTGCTGCCACCTGGTGGCCGCCCGTGTCCCGGCGGCGGCCGCGTGGATGCAGCGCCCCCCGGTGGCGGCGCGGCCCGGCCCGGCCCGGCCCGGCTGGTCACGGGGGGGCGCGGCGGAGCGGAGGGAGCGGAGGGAGCGGAGCGGAGGGAGCGGAGGGAGCGCAGCGCAGCGCGGCGAAAGAGTCCTGCGTTTGTGGCGAGTGCGTTACGAACCGGTAACAAACGACCCAGATCGGGAAGGACTTACGTTGTTTGATTCCCCTTTGTTTTGTCTCTTTCTCTGCATTTTGCTTTCACAGAATCACAGAATCATCCACGTTGGAAAAGACCTCTGAGATCATCGAGTCCAGCCTTTGACAGATCACCACCTTGCTAACTAGACCATGGCACTAAGTGCCACATCCAGTCGTTTCTTGAACACCTCCAGGGACGGTAACTCCATCACCACCCTTGGCAGCCCGTTCCAACGTTATACAACATTTTCATTAAGAAATTCCTCCTGGTGCCCACCCTGATTCTCCCCTGGCACATCTTGAGGCTATGTTCTCTTGTCCTGTCACTTTGCCACAGCTCTCTTAGAAATCTGCACGGGAACCATCACAACTGCACCACAACAACCCAGCCTAACTGCAGCTGGTCATGGCTGAGCCACTTTTTACCCCACATCCACAGTTACTCTCCCACTATCCTGTTCCTGGTGGTACTGAAGCATCTCAACACCCATCAGCCAACAGCTTCATTCCTTCAAAGCAGGTGAGGTATGCTCAGTGCAGGTGTGGAACAGGGAAATCCTGACAGACTGTTGCATGACAAGCACCATTTTCTGGTGCTTGCGGGATCCCTGGTGACATGCCAAGATGCAACATCCACCCTGGGCAGGGGCAGGCATGGCCTCTGTCTCTGTCTCTTCAAGTCTGCTGACCAGATAAATCCCGACTTTACACTGGTGGGGCAACAACTTTATGGAGTCCTGGCTCCAGTCCAGCCTTTCCATTAATTACATTCAGGCAAAGGATCCGCTTAAAAAAAGCAGGTGTTATCTGTAGCCCAAGTTCTGTTGGGAAACAACTTACCTCAAACACTGACAAGCAATGACAACCTCTATTATATCTGTGTTACAACACTGGTAATAAAACTGACCAGTAAATCAGCACAAGCAAGGCAGGACTACTGAGGTACAGAATAACTGATTAGGAGTTAGGCTGAAAAAACCCTGAAACCTAAGCCTGGCTCAAGCCTCAGGCCAATTTGCGTTTCAAACATTTTATTATTTTTGCAAATATAAACACAATAAGTACATGAGCATGGGAAGGAAGCTCCGTTTTGTTCCCCTCCCCACCAGAAAGCTTCTTGCTTGGCCTGGAATTAATAAATACATCACGAACCCTGCCTTCTCCTTTTCCTCCTTTGCCCCCTCAAATCACTGAACCTTTCGAGATAGCACTGATCAAGGGAGGTTCTCAAAATGTGTTGCAAAGGTGGGCAGGAGAATTTTTGCCTCCCTTGCCTGCAGACGAAGCTACAGGTCTGGTGGTGAGGTTCTTTGGAGGTCTGGGGGAAGCAACAGGTAAGGAGATGGGAAATTTCAAGACTGTGAAAGCTCTTGGAGCTCAGAGCTCACTGATGAGTGGGAGAAGGCAGCAGCGTGATGAGAGGGGGAGAGGATGGAGGTAAGACAGTAGGGCACAATCCAGCATCTATGGTTCCCCCCATGCTGCAGGAATTGGCTGCCTCCTATCCCTTTGTGGCACTCATCTTCATAAACCCATTGTGGGGAAACAGCATCTCTGTTTTGTTCACAGGGAAACAGGGGATGGTAAGTGACCAGGATCACAAAGGTAGTTCATGTCTTGACTGGAAATAGAACTCTGGCCATAGGAACTAGGTGGATAAGGAATAGGGAAAGGCAAAGGGAGGGAAACCCAAACAGCTGTGGCTTTTAAAGGTGGAAAAGCACTGGATGCCTTGGGGTCTTCTCCAAACAGCATGGGAGTATGCCTCTTGCCAAAAATACTAGTTGAAAGTACTGGCATTCTCATTTTGCTACAAAAAGACTTGTGGACAGGACTTGGCCTCTAAACCACAGCAAAAACTGTGCAAGAAAAACAAAACCAATCCCAAGTTTACCTGGCAAGAAAAGTATTGATCCAAATCTCAGCCACATGACATATTGAATGTCACGTATAAAATGGTATCATCGTGATTTCATAAGTGTTTGGGCCCATTCAGCATAATAGCAGCTGACCTCACCCTACAAATGTGTGGGTGACTCCACCGGGGCAGGCTGAGCAAAAGGAAGAGCTGTATGGTAATAGGGAGCAATGCTGGGGGCAGTCCTCATCTCCTTAATAGTGAACCCCACACACTAGAAGTGGCTTCTTCACGTATGGCTGAAGGCAGAAAAGCCCTTTCCCAGCCCACTGTTGCAGAAACAACCAGCACTTCTGCAGATGTCTCACACTGCTCAAGTATTTTGTCCAAAGGTTTTTGCTGCTTGGACACTTGTGTGTGCAGCACCAGCAGCACATGGCATGCTCCTTCAGGGAGCAAACCTCCACCAGCCTTGAGAAAAGGGATTTGGTTTAGAATATAAAGCTGGGTAAATGGATGAGAAAGTCACATTCCTCAGAGCCTGCCAACAAGATGGGGAGTCCTGCAAACAGCACCATAGCATAAGGTGAGCAGCTGTTTGTGGTGGTGATAGAGTCCATCTCCTATTTTCTCAGAAGACCAGTTTTTTTCCTGGGCTTCAGGACTTTTTTAAATTCTTTGGATGCTGTTAATGTGTCTCTCAGTAATGCTGCTTGCTCTAGCTCGTGACACTGTGTCAGAGAGACAGTTGTGGCCACAGCATAGCTAGAGAACTATTGCTTGTCAGGAAAAGAGGCCAAGTGTTGGCCACTCCAAAGGGAGGCAAGGAGCCAGGGCAGACACCAAAGGAGATGACACATTACTGGGGACTCTGTGAAAGGCAGTGAAGAATCTCTTTCCTACAAGCTACAGTTTATTTTTCAAAGGTTGGGGCTGCTCCAGCTGCTGCAACTGGGAGTGTCCTCGCCTTTGATCAGACTCGCAATGATCTGGCAGATTTAGTGATGCCTCACCTACCCTTGTTCAGCTTGCCCCTGCCTCCAGGTTGCTGATTTAGAAAGGCTTTAGCAAGCTTACTTTTTTTCCTATTTTTTTTTTGGAAAATAAAAAGCATCTGCCAATTCAGTGTAGATTAGATCTTCCTGTAAGTCAGAAACTCTGCAAGCTGCTCGCAGAAATATTTGCAGTGACACTAAGATGAGAAGAACCACATCTGGCCTACTCCACACCCTCTTGTTTAAGCAGCAGCACACAATCCATACACTTTAGTTACAAAATAGCAATATCCTTTAAATTTGCATGGAGTGAACCCAGAAAAAGAGTTTCTGGAAATGCAACAAGGAAATATTAATACAGTGCAAAAAGTGATCCAAAGCCTATAGCCCCACAGAGATATGTTGTCTAAAACATTGCATTAGCTAGTTTTTCTCTCTTAATCCAATAGGACTGCATCTCTGGAGCAATCCTTTGTGAACATTAAGCCTCCTTGACCATAAATCTTAGCCATTTGACACCCAAGTTATTAAATTATGTTTGTGTTGTTATATCATAACATGAGGTTTAACCATATATCATGCCCCCATGGACAGCATAGAACCAGCAAATGGTAAAACAAAGCTCCTCCTTCCAGACCTCTTTAAAGCTGAGGGAATCTCTGTAACTTGCTGGCAGTGCTGGCCTGCATTTGGAATTGTGTTTGATTTCACTTAGTAGTAGACCACATTACATTTCCTTATTGTCTAGGTCATTAAAATATGGCTACTTTTACAAGGAAAGACAAATCACCAGCAGTAGCACATAGTCGTTTCTTATTACAATTCTTAATTGGCATTTCAGAGGGGTCATAAATATTGTGTCATCAGTAATAAAATGTTTGGGACTGAACACAACTGAAAGAAAGAATCATGGCATTGAATTATTTAAGGTTTAAACTCTACTGCATAGTCCTGGGAGGGTCTTTAGGAGCATTCTCTCCTCCAGTGCGGATGGAGGGATGTCTCATTCAAACACCATATGGATGCTGTCTAACAGTTCCTGTCAGTTGACTGTGTACTGAGGATCAGATGCGGTTGCCTAGCAGTTTCTGTCTGCTGACTGACCCCTGGGGGAGCAGCACACATGATAGCTGGAAATCAGAATATTCACCTCAAGTAGGGCAGCATTTTTTATGGTGAATTATGAAGTCAGTGATCTGCCTCTTGACATTAGAGATGAATACAACCATCACATCTTGCCTCAAATCATATTATGACTTCTTCTTGTGGTTGGTCCCAGTTGCTCTCGCACCTTGCCTAAGAATATTTTGGGTCTCCCGGGGCTAAAAGTCTTCATGGTAAGCACTAAC